AATAATAATTTTTTTAGTATTAGCTAAGTATTTAATTTTTAGGTTTTTTATAATAATAAAATATTAAATAATATACTTAATTATTTTAATATAAGTTTTAATAAGTTATATTATATATTAAGCAAGCTTACTAGTTATTTTAAAGGTATTAAGGCATGTTATTATAATAAAATAAAAAAATAAGCTAATAAATTATTAATATAAAAAAATATCTTGCTTTATAGGTGTATAATTTAAAGGTATAAATATTAGTTTTTTAATAAGTAAAAATATTTTTAATATTTTACTTAGTATTATAAGGTTATATTTAGCTTGTAAATTATTAATATAAAAATTTTAAAATAATTAAATTTTTTAATTATAATAATTATAAATAATTTTAATATTTAAAAATTACTTTACTTTATTAAAATTTTATAATTTATATATATACTTTATATATTTAATAAAGTTAATAGCCTTTTTTTAACTTTAGCTAATCTCTTGCTTATAATAAGTATATTATTAGTAAAAAAAATAATTATAAAATACTTTATAATAAAAAAATAAGGTTTTTTTAATACTAGCTTAAAGCTATATTTAAAAAATATTAAAAATATTTTTTTATTAAATACATGGTAATTATTTAAGGTTATATAAAGATTAATTTAATTTAAATACTTTGCTTTTAACACGCTAGGGGCCGGGTAGTATTTTAATATATATTTTTTTATTTATAAAGCTTTAAATAAAAATATTAATAATATTTAATTAAATAATATTAAGGTTAAAATAAGTAATAAGTATTATTATAAGTTAAAATAATTAGGTAATAAAAGTTACTATTATAGTATTAATATAGTTAATAAATTAAAAATCTTTTTTAATAGAAAGGCATGCTTTAAATTTATTTAAATAATTAATAATATTAAATTTATATTTAAATACTTATATAAATAATATAATAATCTTGCCTTTTAATATAAAAATAATTTTAAAAATATAAAGTTTTTTAAAAATACTAAATTTAACTTTAGCAGCCTTTATAAATAAATTTTTATATAAATATTTTATAAGTTTTGCCTAGTTTTTTAATTTTTTTAAAGCTAATTTTAGTAAATAACTTTGCCTGGTGCCTTTTATAATAATTTAAAAGGCTTAAAAATTATTAAGTAAAAAAAATATAATATTTAATAAAGTTTTTTACTAGCTAGTAAAGAAGTTTAGTATAAAAAACTTTAAAAAAGGTTTTTATTTTAAGTAATTTTTATTTATAAAATTTTTTAAATCTTGCTTTTAATGCAGGTGATTATATTAAGCCTTTTTATTTAATTTAACTTATATAGTTAAAAGTCTGGAATTAAGATTTTATTCCCTTTTTTTTATATTAGTTTTATATAGTTTTAGGTTAGATTTAATAAAAAAAAGTAATATTAATATTTTTTTTATTATTATTTCTATTTATATTATTTTTTAGTTATAAAAGCCCTCCAGCGCTGTTATTTTTAAAGTTAAAAACTTTTTTATTTTTTTACTTTTTATTACCTAGTTAGGTGTTGTTAAAATAGTTTTATAATTATTATAAATTTAAAAGCTTTAATTAACTATAGTGCTTGCTAAGCTTAGGCTAGTAATAAAAATAAGTAAAATTATAAGGTTTTTATTATTATATAATATTAAGTTACTAGGTAAGTTAAGGATAGCTTTATTTTAAATATTAATTTTAATATAAGGTTTATTATTTTTAACCTTTTTATTTTTACTTATTTTTATATTATTAGGCTTGGGAGTAGGCTTATTTTAATTATTAAGTTTAAAAAAAATTATTTTTAAAGCTAATAAAAAATAGTATATTAATTAATTTTTTTTATTAATATATGCTAGGATTATATATTTTAAACTAGCTATATAAATTAAGTTATTTTTATTATAAGTTTTTACCTTATTAAATATTATATTTTTTACTTAAATAACTAAATATTATATAGCTTTAGCGCGAGGGTTTTAAATTTTTTAAATATTATAGGCTTTTTTATATTTATAAAAATATTTAATAGCTGCTTTTAGCTTTATTTTATAAAAGTTAGAAATTTTTAGCCACTAGTAAGCAAGTAATTTAAACTTAAAAATATTAACTATATTTACTAGGTAAGTATTATTTATTAATATTTAAAACTTTTAAAGTAGTATAAACTATTTATTTTTTTTATTTTTTATAGGCATGTAATTTAGTATATAAATAAACACTTTTATAATTTTAAATATAAAATTTTAAAATATATTAATAGCTAATAAAAGCGCTTTAACTTTTTATAAAATAATTTTTTTTAATTACTTACTTATGCTATTTTATTTAAATATATTAAAAATAATAATTTTAAAAGCTAAACCTTATTATTTTTAATAAATTTAAAGTTATTTAAAAGCTATAATATCTTATTATTTATATAAAAAAATTAAATATAAAGGCTAAATTATTTAAAAGCATAGGTATTAAATAATTAAATAACATGCTAGTAATTATTTTTTTTAGTATATAGTATTATTTACCTTATTTAAGTAATATTATTTAAAAAATAAAAGGTGTATTTTATATTATTTTAAAATACTTTAAAAATAAAAATATTAAAATAAATTTTTTTAAAGGGTTGGGTTACTTTAATTAATTTAATTTATAATATTTACTTAAAAAATTATAAGAGTTTACATGGCGTGTAAAGTAGTTTTTATTTTTATTTTTTATTATAAAGTTAAGGCGCTAGATTAATTTATATACTAGTTATAAATATTAAAAATTTAAATATTATATTAGTATTAAGGTGGCCTATATACTTATACTAAATTTTTAAGCTTTTTAATAATATTTTTAAAGTTATAATATATTAAATTTTTATTTTTATTATAGTATAAAAGGCCTTAATCTTTTTATTATTATTAATATTAAATTTCTTATAGTAAATTATATATAATTTATAATATTATTTAAGTATATAAAAGTTTTTTTTAAGTTTTTAAGAGTTTTTTTATAGCTATTAAAATATAAATTTATTAACATGGCTTTATTAAAAAACATAATAATAATATAAAAGCCAGGAATATAAGCGTAATTATTAAGTTATAAAAGCTTTTTTAAGCTATTTAGTCCCTTATAAAAAACATAAAGTATACTAAACTTTTTAATTTTATTAATAATATTATTAATAAAAATAATATTATTTTTAAAAGCGTTGCGGATGTTAATTATTTTAGTAAGATTATTAATAATATATATAAAAAATCTAAAATTAATAATAACACTTTTATATAGGCTATATTATAAGCTATTAAATAATAAATAGGTAATTATTATTATAACTTTCTTTAGGTTTTTAAAGTTATTTTTTTAGCCTTAATTTTAAATATTATTATATTAAATTTGGATTTTTTAAAGGTGCTTAGTACTTTTTTAATAATTAAATTTTATATATTTTTTTTTACTTTTTACAAAGTTTTTTTTTAAGGCTCCTAATTTTTTAAAGCTTTTTTAATATTAAGATACTAGTAAAAAATAATAAAATATAGGTAGTTATATACTAGGTATATTAGCTTTAATTTATTATTTTTATTTTTACTATTTTTTTTTAAATTTCTTATTATTTTTAGTATTTTTATTTTTATTATTTATTAAGTTATTTTTTTAAGCATGGCAAAAATACTATTTATTAGCTATTATTTAAATTTATTATATATAGTATAAACAGCCTAAAACATATAAAATATTTTAAACTTTTTAATAGCATTAGTAAAGTTTTTTTTTAAAAAAATGGCCATGTAAAGTCTTTAACTAAACTTTTTATTAATAATTATAATAATATATATAAAGTTTTAAAGCATGTTAATATTTTAATTACTAGTAAAAATATTAAATTTTTTAGTTTTAATAAATATATTAACCCAGCAATTATATTAATTATTAATTTACTTTTTAATAAAAAGGCCTTAATAAATAGGTACCTTTTTTTATTTTATTTTAATTTTTATTTAATAAGTAATATTAAATTATATATAGCACTTTATAAAAAGTTAAAATATTATATATAAATATTTTTAGCTATATAAAAGTTATTAATAAAGGCTAAATATAATTAAAGTTATATAAATTATTATTATACTTAATAAAGCTTTATATTTTTTTAAGTAAAATATTTTTTTATAATAATATAAAATTTATTTTATTTATTAGCTATTAAATAACTTATTTAAAGTTTATTTTTTTTAAAAATATTAAAATAATAATTTTTAAGAATTAGCCTTGGGCTAATAAAAATAAGTAATAAGTTTTTATTATTAATTAAAAAATTAATATAATTTTATATTATAAGGCTTATAACTATTAATTTAATAATTTAATATTATAAGTATTATATATTAAGGCTATTTAAGGTAATAGTATTAAACTAGGTATTTATAAGTAAAAATTAAAAAATTTTTATAGTATAATATATAATAAATAAAAAAAACTTTAAAAATTTAAATTTAAATAATAAATAACTTTAAAAATAATTATATAAATAATATTTAAAAAAGTAAAGTATAAGCTAGGCTTATAACTTTTAAAGTTATAAATATTTTAGGTAAAAATTAATTATATAAAATTAAAATAAAAATTAAAGGGTAAATAAAATATAAAAATTTTTAAAATTTAAAATAAATAAAAATATAAAAATTTAATAGCTAAATATAAAAAAATTTAAGCTATATTTATTTTTTTTTTATTTTTTTTTTTTAATTAGGTTCTAAAATCTAGCCAAAGTTAAAGGTTAATTTTTTTCCTATTTTTAAAGGTTAATTAAAGTTATCTAACTAAGTTTACCGCGGAGATCCAAGGGATCTCCACCTCTTGTCCAACACAGGTAGAATCGGATGACGCCGAATCGCCCAATCACAGAGACGCCCAGATATCGCACTTTAGCCCTAGCCTATATAAATACCTCCTTAATCAAGGCGAGGTCCAGCGAGCTCTCTACCCCCTCCAAAACAATATGGCTTCAATCGCTACAGTCCTTGATAACAATTCCGACATCACTCGTCGCTACGGTTCTGGCCTTGTCGCTGTCTTTGGTAAGTAACTGATCCATGCTGGCAATGGACCCTTGATTCGTGACACCCTATGGACCATGCGTCCCCACAGATGACCGAGATGGAATCTCGTTTCCCTACTGATCGCGCTCGCACACAGTCGGCGGAACAAGCGGAATAGGCGAGACAACAGCCCGCGCATTCATCCGCCACACGCACGCCTCCAGCTCCCACGCGTACCTCATTGGACGAGACGAGGCAAGGGCAACGCGCATCATCGAAGAACTGCAAACGCGGTATCCATCCTCCCGGGTCACGTTCATCAAGTCGGATGCTTCGTTGCTGCGCGAGGTGGACGCTGCGTGCGGCGCTATTCAGCGGAACGAGACAAAGGTCAATGTTCTGTTCCTGAGTCCGGGCATCGGGACAACGAGTGGCAGAGATGGTATGGTTATATCCCCTGCCTCGAGGTTTAAATTCTGAGCTTGATATTGACGTCTGGCACAGAGACCGACGAAGGGCTGGACAAGAAGCTGAACCTGCACTACTACTCCCGCATGCGATTTGTGACGAACCTCCTACCACAGCTCCGGAATGCCGGTGATGGCCCCGGCCCCGGGACGAGCGGGCAGGCTGCAGGCCAGAACGAGGAGAGTAGACCACCACTCGCCCGCGTAGTCTCCGTCCTCGAAGCAGGTGGCGAAGCAGCCCTTAACCTCGACGATCTCTCTCTGAAACATCGCTATTCGCTCCGCAACTGCGCAAAACACGCCATTACCATGAATTCCGTCTCGATGGAACATCTTGCCTTAGCCTATCCCCAGATCTCTTTCATGCACACTTTCCCCGGCATTGTAAAGACCCGTCTTAACCGGGACTTCGGCACTGCCGCTCGACTTGCCATTTCCGCCTTGATGGTCCTCGCCAGACCGTGGGAGATTCCTCTTGAGGAGAGCGGGGAGAGACACTTGTATGCCGCGACAAGTCCGCGGTTTCCTGCGAGGATGTATAAAGGAGGTGGAACTGATGCTGCTGAAGGCTCTGAGGGGTATCCGGGGAGTGGGTTCTATCGGCTTAGTTCCACTGGCTCTACGTATAAGTCCAGTAGGATCATGCAGGCTTATCGCGAGGACGGGGTGAGAGACGTCATTTGGAAACATACGCTTGATGTTTTTGCGAAGGTCCGTGGTGGACCAGTGGTTGAGGCGTGATGTTGGACATTCTGATTTGTTTGCTTTTGGGCTTCACATTGAATCTGCGGACTGGGCTATCACTCTCTGTGCGTAGTTCTGCTCGCCATATCCATTGATGTGGCAGACAACTTCTTGTAGATGGTGACAATGCGAAGGTATATTAATGCATCTCTTACGGTTCCTCTCAGAGGAATACACCTGTAATTCAAGAAACATCAATTACAGAGCCGGCGTTAAGCTCTTCTAATCCCCGCTTCCCCCTCCAATGATTACTATACACAAAGACCTCCGGACACCCCTGTATAACCCATGCCCACTTGCGGACAAATAGCTCAGAGAACTCCCAATTCTGCGGAAGCCACGGATCACCCCACACCAGGACCCCGATGTCGCCACTGGTGGGGTCCACTACATCAACACACAGCTCGCAGTCATCAAAAGACTCCGCGACGCCGATAAGGTTGTCGCGCATCTGCGGGAACGGGAAACAGTCTAGCCATGGATGATGGGGGGTTGAGCGTTGGATGGGAGTAGGAAGCAGACTAGACGGGAGGCCTGAGTCGCGCCCTCGGGGTCCCGGCATTGCAGTACTAAATGGGGAGAGGGCGTCGTCGTCCATTGCCTCGATGGTCAAGCCCAGGGTGGACATGTTGTCGACGAATGCGCGCAGCACGTTGAATTTGCTCAGTGTGAAGAGGTGGTCCAGACATGGGTCTGCGGCGTAGTATCTCTCGCGGGCTGCGGCATGGAAGCAAGCCATTGTTTCTACGGTTTCTGAGAGCAGAGTGGATGCAGACGGCTGCTGTGGCTTCTGGACGGTATGGCGTGGACGTGGAAGTATTAGTGCATAACGTGGGCTGTCATTCTTGGATGTGGACTTGAGAGCCTTTGCGGTTTGCCGCTCGTGGCGCTTTCTCGCCCCTGCGAGGGTTAGTTCGCCCACTGGAAGTAGCGGCTAGGGGAGGGACTTACGCAAAGCACGTTGGTTGAGTTTGTTCTGCAGCTTCTTCCGGAGAGCAGGATCCGTGATAGCCGTCCAGTCGTTGTCAGGCTGACAGATGCGCGGTTGCGAGGACATGGCCATGTGAATGGGGATCGAGATACCCACAGGATGGATGGAGGATGTTGGATGTTGGATTTTTCGAGGGTTCGTGACTCGTGAGTGGCCAATGGGACTGGCTATGTAAGCTGGAGCTAACCGTTTTGAGGTGCTGCATCCGGCTGACGCATTCTCAGCCAATCACCGCCAGCCTACTATATACCCCCCTATGGCACTCTGTACCTATAGTCCGTGTACTCTGTCCACTCCGAATATCCGAAAGGCATTAATGAATCCGAGTATAAATAGCCTCTCAAAGACACTCCTGGCAATAACAGAAGCATCACTCTGACAGTCGACATGGCAAACTCCAGCGAATTCGGACCCCTTACACCTGCCATCGAGGTGGCTGCGGCGTTCCCCAACAACATCCACGGCAAGACGGTCATTATAACCGGAGTCTCTCCCAAAAGCCTGGGTCTTGCAACTGCTGCTGCCTTTGCCTCCCAGTCGCCTGCAAATCTTATTCTGACCGGAAGGTCTCCCGACAAAGTCGAGGCTGCCATCAATGAGCTCAAATCCATCTACCCGAACGTCAAATACCATGCCTTGATTCTGGATCTCGCATCCCAGTCCTCTGTCCGAGCGGCCGCCGCCCAGCTTAACAAGGACGCCTCGATCCCCTCGGTCGACATTCTCATCAACAACGCCGGAGTCATGGCCATCCCCACATTGACAACGCCGGAGTCATGGCCATCCCCACATTGACCCTCTCGCCAGACGGCATCGAAACCAGCTTCGCAACAAACCACATCGGCCACTTCCTCTTCACCAACCTCATCCTGCCGAAACTCATCAAGGCCGCCTCGACCTCCTCGACCCCAACCCGGATCATCAACGTCACCTCGTTCGGGCACCAGTTCTCCCCCGTGCGCTTCTCCGACGTCAATTTCACCAAGGCCGGCGCGGAGCTCCCCGAGTCAGAGCGTCCGGAGTACCAGAAGACCGAGTTCTTCACGGGTAAGAGCCATGCAGACGACGTCTACTACGGCTTCTTCTCGTACGCCCAGTCGAAAACAGCTAATATTCTGCACTCGGTCGCCCTGAACCAGAAGCTGTGGGAGAAGCACGGCATCGCCTCGTTTGCTGTGCATCCTGGGGCCGTTGATACGAATATTAACCGCCATGCTACGCCGAGTGATATTGAGCTGGCCTTGAAAAGGGTCAAAGAGCTTGGCTTTGATTCTGCGCAGAAGACGCCAGGGCAAGGCGCGAACACGACGGTTTTTGCTGCGGTTGGCTCTGATCTAAGACCTGTTGGTTTTGAGGGGGATCATGCCAGGGGGGCTTATCTTGCGGACTGTAAGGTGGATGATGAGAATGTTGCTGCCTTTGCGACGAACAAGGTCTTTGCGGAGAGACTTTGGGCTTTGAGTGAGGAGCTGGTGGGGGAGAAGTTTGATTTCTGATTCGGAGATTAGTGGAGAGCTATTATGTACGTAGACCTGTTAGCACTTAGATAGTGTCAGGATAGGTGGAACATTAAATGGCACGGAGTGATTTGATGTTCTGATTTCTCAAGTATCACATATTACGTTCCATGATGGTGAAGATTGTTAGATACCGCTAGACCATAAAAGCCAATTGGCTATAGGTCCGTCCTTATACTCCAACAAAGATGAAGGCCCGCAAGTCGTTGATTGGACGATGGGGGTAAACTAACTTATTCCGACTCTCGTATATGGCATACTGTCTGATTAGAATTGCCACTAGAATAGTTGATGCCATATTGCGCGCTAATTTAAATAAAATGACTGTCAAAAGCGGACAACTCAAGATGCTCGAAGTAGAAAGAAATATATACACACCCGCGCCGAGATATGAGCCCAAATAGCGACGGTATTATTATTGGGGTGCACACAGACAGAGAGAGAACAACACTCAAAGAGAACAAGAAAAGGAAAAAAAAAAAAAAAAAAAACTCAAGCAATAGGTTCAACATATTCCGCAAGCTCGCTCTGAACGTATTGGAAAAGCTTTTCCTGGAGGTCATGATCCTGCGCCAATTTAGATCCAGACTCAGGCTTCCCAATGGGCCCATAGTACTGTCCATGATTCGCATCGGGACTAACAGCCGCAAAGATCTGCGAGAGGGCGCCCTTCGCAACCGGTGTCGCAAAGCAGATTGCCGCGTAGAGGAAGGGCTTGAGGAAAGTCCCCGTCGAGGCATGGTGCAGGTTCGTCGCCACCATACCCGGATGCACCGGGATAATCTTAACACGGGATTCTCGCTCAGCGAGGGCCTTTGCGTAATGCAGGTTCGCCAGCTTGGAGGTCGTGTATCGCTCCGTCGTATGTCGATTTGCGGCGGGCGTGCGGAGCTCATCGAATTTGTACACCCAGTCGCTGGGCGCCCGTGCGTGCGCGGCAGACGAGAGCATGACCATGCGCGCCTGGGCGTTGAGCTTTGCGGTGTTGCGGAGGGTCGGCAGGAGGAGTTGCGTGAGTAGAGCGGGACCCAGGACGTTGGTCCCGAATTGGATCTCGTGTCCGTCGCTGGTGAGGCCCTCGGGCGTCATCATGATGCCGGCGTTGTTGAGCAGGATATCGAGGCGGGACTCTTGAGCCAGGAACTCTGCTGCGGCGGCTTTGACGCTCTCGAAGGACGCGAGGTCCAGCTGGAGGAAGCGGAGGCCGTTGAACGTTGGATTTTGGGCCTTTAGGTCTGAGATTGCCTGTTCGGCTTTGGGGCGAGAGCGAGCGGCGAGGTAGATTCGGGCTGGGTGGTGCGAGATGAGCTGCCGGATGGTTTCGTATCCGAGACCGGCGTTGCCGCCGGTGACGAGGATGACTTGGTTGTGGAGGTCGGGGATGTCTTCGCTGCGGAAGGTCGGCATGGTTGGTATTGCACGTAGTTGGTTACTTTGAGGGTCTTTGGTGGCCAAAGTCAGTCACGGTAGCAAGACAGAGAGGAAGAGGAGGTTCTTTTAAGCTGGCCCCAACCGGGTCCCTTCTGATTCCGTTGTCTTCCAGCGAGAGAGTATAGTAGATCGCCAGAAGTTGTGTGATTGGCCGAGAGCTGTCATCCCTGGCCATGTGGCGCTGTTCGTGATTGGCTGAAAAAGCGTCATCCGGGCCAAAGGGCCCACCCTGTTGAATGTGGTTGGTTGAGGTTAATTCTGGAATTGTAACTAGGGTTTGTACTCAGGTCGCGCATGAATATTGGAGCCAGCAGTGGATGTAATGGTAGGGCCCGGATTGGTCCTGCTACAGACCCATGGAAGGCATAGATCACATTGAGTTAAGGGAATAGATAGCTGAAGCAGTGCCAAGACATAGGCCCAAGGGTAAGCTCGCTCTGTGTAGTTCCTTTGGGAACTAGCCGCCCTGCACAATGGCTCCCAAATGGTTACTGGCATGTTCCAAAGATGTATGTAAGGGCTGGGACCAGTTCTGGGTAGACGGAGCTTCCTGTCCTGTCACTTGGGGTAGAACCAGCCACGCCAGGGGCCGAAGCAAAGAAAGTCACAATGGCGTCGGGGAACTCGGAATGGTTCTTGCTTTTCGCTTGTGTCTTGCTTGGAGTACCCATCCTAGGTATCTACTCATTCGTGTCATCGCCATGTCGTACATTTTCAGGCAGGATAGCCCTGTCCTGCAGCTGATGGATCTCATCACACTTGTTCCATCGGTGAGTTTGCGAAGGCGGCAGAGGAAAGACGGTAGTGAGGTCTGACGGACCTGGTCGTGCTCTGCATACTACCTAGGAGTAAATGGTTGGATGTCCTTATGGCCCAGCACCGGGAGATCGTCGAACAGACGGTACCCTTTCACACCGGCCAGCCTGGACCATGTCCGCCAGGCGCCCTTGAACACAAGGCTCGTGCTCTGAACCCCGGACGGGTAGGACTCCAGAAGCTCAAGAGGTACGCTAGGAGGGCGGTTATGAAGCCATTGTACAAACTCCTCTTGTTCCTCCTTCGTAAACTCACTGTCTACCTTGGCGCGGAACTTGGCGTAGTGGACTGGGCGAAGCTGGCCATGGTCGACTGTGAATGAAGGGCGCGGGCCCTGGAATGGTATGCAGATTGAGGCCGCGCCCATTTTGAGGAAGTGGGTGGGCACCTCTTGGTTCTCGGCAATCGCTTCTCCGCGCAGGGACTCCATTAGCTCGGCGAATTCGATGTACTGTTGGCCCTGAGACTTGCGGTACATGATGGCGCGGTACAGCTTGTTGGTTATTGTGTTAGAGTGTGAAGTTGCTTCGTCTGTGGCGGCATTGGCAATCAACTCCACGGTCCGGGGGGTAGTCTCCATCGCCCGGCTCGGAATGCGCGAGTAGCAACAATCGAGGATGAACAAACAGTCCATGTTGTCGCTCATTTCGAATTCGCATGGATCCTGAAACAGGCGGCGCGAGGCATTAATACACGCAGCGCCACGGCGCCCATTTTCCACGAAATAGAGACTCCCCTCACTGTCTTGCTGTCCATGTCCGGCATAGTGATAAATCACCAAGGAGCGCCCAGCTGCCGTGTAGGCGAGTTCTTGAATTTCCAGGGATCTTCTTTGCAGCCAGATATGCGGTGCAGGGTGGTTTGGTGGAATTATGAACTCTATGGCGTCAGGTAGGTGTAGGGCCTCTTTGACCATGTCCTTGAAAATGCTCGCGTCTCTTTCAGCGTTGGTATCGTCGGCCTGCCAGCGGATGGTGGCGCAGAAGGTTTGGGAGTAGCTGGTGCTTCGGGTTCTAGCGGCCGCTTCGATGGTGCTTTTGAATTCTTCAAGCGACATGGAATCCATCGTGACTGACGTTGGAAGGAAAGGTTCGTGGGCTGCGATTGTTGGCTTTAAATTGGGTGAAAAGGAGTGGAAGTTGGAAGGTTAGACGATGATAGAGGATGAAGATGAAAATGAAAGAGCAAGGTTGAGATGGTGGAAGGAGATGAGGAAAGGGAAAATGAGTGACACTGGACCATGGTCATTAAGACTCTGAGAGTGACTCAACTAGGCGCCCCCGGAAATGAGTTCCTATGACATCCTGGTGTTTCCTTATGGATAACGGGGCTATTCTGTTTGACTTGGAAAATAGCGACAAATGTATGTAACTCTTTCATTAAGTGGTTTAATGATGCCAACCTGGATGAGCTGTGGACTGGGCGCCGAAAAAAAAAAATAAGACAAAAAAACCGACACCTGTGAGATTCGAACTCACGCTCCCGAGGGAAATGCCTGACTTGTATCAAAGATACTATAGCAGGGCATCGCGTTAACCACTCCGCCAAAGTGCCTATTTGTTGTTACTGCTATTTTAGTTATAGTATATACAGACATATTTCTTACTTTGGCAAAGAAATCCCACTGCCGTCGCCCCGCTGGACAACAGGTACTCCCTAGCAAAACAGAAATGCTTCTACCCGCCAAACTTCGAATACATACTTCCAAGCATTTTTCCAATCTGTGATGGTAATAAAATGGATTTATGCGCAAGCTTTGACCGCTAGGTTCCCGGTGCGAGAGTGTATACCTTTGCTTGGTCTCTCCGCTACCTGGAGATGAATCCTCAACGTGGAATATTTATATAACTGCTTGCCTATGCCGGGCAGCATACCGCCGCCGAGATGCAACGCCCTTTCGACCAGTCCCAGAGAAACGAGAAGAGACGTTCGCCTCTCATACTTCAACGAAGTCCTCGGAGTACTGTACCTTTTAGAGGTGTCTAGCGACCAAAGTGCGGGGTTGCGGTAACAAGGAAAGCGCGAGGCTCAGCTTGAGCTCCAGCGTCGGCCTCTTCCCCAACACAACTCCCATCTTCTTCACTCCTCGCAACGATCACCAACAGACGGAACATGACGCCAGCGACACATCTAACATCCAATTCCAATGTCCCAGTCGGCGAAGCACCATGCAGACTACACGATCGCCTGGATTTGCGCGCTCCCGCTCGAGGCCGCAGCCGCGCGAACGATGCTCGACAAAACACACCCCCAACTCCCTCAGCCTCCGACCGACCATAACGTCTACACCCTCGGCGAGATATCCGGCCACAACATCCTGATCGTCTGTCTGCCTGCCGGAGTATACGGCACGGTCTCTGCGGCCATCGTGCTATCGCAAGTCCTGTCAACCTATACCGCGCTGAAGTTTGGGCTGATGGTCGGAGTCGGTGGTGGAATCCCTCGATCGGTAGAAAACAGTGATATGTGGCTTGGGGATGTCGTGGTCAGCAAGCCCACATCCGATGGGACGAGCGGAGTGGTTGCCTACGATTCTGGGAAACTCCTGGGCGACGCCGGGTTCACGTTGACCACAGTCATGAATCGGCCGCCGCAACTGTTGTTGAACACTTTATCGCATGTGCAAACCGAGGTCATAATGGGAAATTCATTGGGGATCTCGGCGATCGTTGCGCGGACATTGGCCACAAACCCGGACATGGCGGAGCAGTATTCTACTCCGGACAGGGCGACCGATCGCCTATTCCAAGCGGATTACAACCATCCACGAGGTGCGACGGACTGTTCTGGGTGCGAGCGGCAATATCTTGTCGATCGGCCGACTCGAATCTCAGATGAGCCGCGGGTTCACTATGGAGTCATTGCGTCTGGGAATCAGTTGATTCGAGACAGCATTAGTCGGGATCACCTAGCCGACAAATACAACGCGCTATGTTTCGAGATGGAGGCCGCTGGGTTGATGAATCAGCTCCCGTTCCTGGTCATCCGAGGAATTAGTGATTACTGCGACTCCCATAAGTCCAAGCGCTGGCAGGGGTACGCGGCACCGACGGCTGCGGCGTACGCAAAGATCCTTTTGTCAAAGATACCCCCAGGCTATAGTCCAGTCTCCGCAACGATAGCTGCAATCTCGCCCTCACCGGAGTCAATCAAGCCATACTTTATGGTGCCTTTTGCGCAAAACCCTCAGTTTTTAGGCCGTGGCTCAGAGCTCATCCAGCTCAGGAGGATGGTTCTAGATGGAGGTGGCCCTCGCAAAGCTGCAATATCGGGCCTTGGGGGTATAGGAAAGACACAGGTTGCGATCAATATTGCCTACCATTTTCGCGACCAAGGGCTTCATTCAGTCTTCTGGATATCATCCACAAGTGCCCAGGCGGTGCAACAGGGCTTCCTTGACCTGGCTGCACGCGTCGGATTGCAAGACATAACTCCCGATAACGTCAAAATGCGGGTGAAGAGTTACTTGACCTCGAATGTGACTCGACCATGGATACTCATGATCGACAATGCGGACGACATGGAGATTTGGTCGTCGTCATTTGCCAGGGAGACGATCCCGGTCGCTCAACACGGTTTCACACTATTCACGACTCGCAACCACCAGCTCGCAGTGAGATTAGTCGGTCGGAATATCATCCGACTGATGGCGATGGACGCTAGTGTGGCCACGGCCATGTTAAGCCAGACCCTTTGGGACGAGAGTCTACTGGGAAACGACAAGGATGCACTTTCGCTTGTTGACCATTTGCAAGGCTTGCCGTTGGCCATCATGCAAGCAGCTACCTACATGAACGAAAACCAAATATCCGTTGATACATACGTTTCACTGATCGGAGAACAAGAAGACTCCTTGCTGGAGTTGCTCGGCCAGGATTTTGGGGACAAATGGAGACTAGCGAAGGCCGCGGCGCGCAGCGCCGTGGTTAGAGGTAGTAAATTGTTTCCCTTAGTAATTTAATATTAACAAACCATTAAAAGGCAAGCTAGTTCCCATTAATATTATAGCTTATTTCTTATGGTACTAAAGGGGATTAATTTAATTTAGGGGCATAGTTATTTTTACATGGGGGGATATTAAATTTAACTATGTATTAAAATATTTTTATCCCGCGTGGTTAATAGCGTGTAAAGTAATTAAAATATAATATTATTATTTAATTAAAAAAACACCCTAGTTAGTTCCAGTGCTATAATCCCTGGTAATTTATTAAGTAAAAAAGCTTTAAAAAATAGTAGCCTTTTATAAAAAAGCTAAAAGGCTTATTAATAATACTAATAATTAAATTTTAAAACTAGTATAATTTTTTAATAAATATCCAGGGAAAATATTTTTTAAGCCCCTGTTAAAATTTATAGTAAGCTTTTAAAAATTTAAAGGGTTTTAAAAATTTAAGGGTTTTAGGGGTAAGGGTTTTAAGGGTAGTTTACTTATAATTAATAATAAGCTTATTTATTATAAGTATAATAAGATCTTTTTTTAAATTTTTAATAATAGTAAAAAACATACTTATACTAAATAAAAAGTCTTATTAACTTCTTAATATACCAGGGGCTTAAAGGGGTTCCCTACTAAATAAAATTATAATTAAATAATTTAGGGGTATAGTTATTTCCGCGTAAGAAAATATTAAACTTTAAAAAAAAGTATAATATTATACTAGGTATAATTTAAATATCTTAATATATTATAATATAAAAAAATAATTATAAAATTTAATTTAGCTGTAGCTATTAGTTCTTAGGTTAAAATTACTTAAGTAGGCTAATTAAGGTAGGTATAAAATATAGTATTAAAAAAATTATTTATAGCCTAGGGTGCCATAAATAATACTTATTTATATTATATTTTTTAAATATATTATTAAAAAAGTAATAACTATATAAAGTTATAATTTTTATTACTTTAGCATGTAAAAAAAGCAATAGGTAAGGTATATTTATAAAAAATATTAATTTATTAAACTTTAGGGGGCCGGCCCCTGGGCCAAAAGTATTTATTTAATAATAATATAAACTTAGGGGCTAGCTTTAAGTTAAATATTAAATATTAATTAAAACTAGGCTGCATAATTTATTTAAAGTATTATTTTTTAATAATAGTAGTTAAGGTAGTACTTATTATAAAAAAAAGTAAGGCCCTTAACTAAAGGTTATAAATAACCGCCTTTTAGTAAATAAGTCTTTTATTATTAAACTTTATTATAAAATATTAATAGCCTATATTTAATTACCTACTTAATTTACCTACTTAATTTACTTATTTATAGCCCTTTAGCCTTATTTTATAGGCTATATTTTTTTTTATTTTATATAGCTTTATAACTAATTAGTTTTATAAAAATTAAAAAGTTACTAAAAATTAAAGGTATACTAGGAATTAAAGGGGGACTAAGGGCTGTTTATAAATTAATTAAGTAAAAAATAAATATACTTATATTAAATAAAAAGTTTTACTAAGTCCTTGGTATACCTAGGGGCTTAAAAAGATTTTTAATTACTTATAATATTAATAGTATATTTACTAATATTAAGGGTGGTTCCCAAAGTCCTAACTTAAATATTTAGCCCTAAGTATTTAAAATAATTTTTAAAGTTTTAACTTAAATATTTAGCCCCAAGTATCTTAATAGCAAAGGCATCTAGGGGATAATTATTTATAAATAATATTAATAAAATAAGGCCCTTATTAAATATAGTAATAAATAAATTTAATAATTATAGGAAACTACCTTATAAACCCCACTTATAATACCTACTTTTAGTACCTATTATTTACAGGCTAGTAAAATTTATACCCAAGATATTAAGTACTAGTATATTTAAAAAAATGTTTTATTTTTTTTATATTTAACTAGCTATTATGCAAGTTAATAGGCTTTAATTATTAAGATTAACTTTTAGTAAAATAAATAGCTTATTATTATAGGGTAAACCTATAATATAAAGTTTTTTTTAAGGTAAGAAAATAATATAATATTTTTAAAAGTAGCTATTTTTTAGGGCATGGCTCTTATATATACCATACTAATAAACTTATTAAATTTACTATACTTTAGCACCGCACCTTTATACTAGTATTTTAAAGTATAAAATACCTAGGGTTTGCAAGGTTATTTACCCTAAAAAATATACTAGCTAAAATTTATAATATATTAATAGCTAATAATATTATTAAAATAGCTAGCTAGCTTTAAAATTACTTATATAATTTAGCTTTAATACTTTTTATAATTAAATTTAGCTTTAATACTTTTAGCTATAATATTAAGGTAAGCTAGGTTATTAAAATTAAGTTAAAAAAGGCTTACTACCCCTATTTTATTATATATAAAAATACCAAGGTATTAAGGTTTAAAAGCTATATTTATTAAAATAATAAATATACACTATTTTAGCGCGCTATAAAAAAAATAATAAGTTAAATTTTTTTAGCCAGGGGCTTATTTTTAATAAATATATTAACTTAATAATTACTAGTATTATACCTAACTAAAAATATATTTTATATTTAATAGCCTTTAAATTATTAAAATAAGGCTTTAAAGCCCTAAAACTTTTAAACTTATTATATTAAAGCTTTTTTTTAAGTATTACACCTTTAGGCGTGCCTTTGGGTATTACACCTTTAGGTATAATATTTTTAAGTATAATACCTTTAGGTATTAGGGGTTAGCTTAGGGCCAAGCTAAAAAAGGTTATTAAAATAATAGTATTTTATTATTAGCTATATACTAATTAACTAAAGTTATTATAGTAAAAATTTTTAGCTTATAGAGAATATATATTATGCTTAAATACCTGTTTTAGGTAGTTATAGGCTGCGGGAATTTAACCTAAAAAATATTATAAAACTAAACAGGTAATTTTATTTTAACCTAAACTTTAAGAAGTAATATATTATTTATTTTATATAAAAGGGTAATAAATAATAAAAGGTTTTATTAATACTTTAAGTTATGCCCTTATATACCCCCCTCACGTGGTAATAAAGGCATAAGCAGTATATTATAGTGATATAAAATAATAATAAGTAATAATCTTTAGGTAGCTATTATACCCTAGGTTAGCTAAAAAAATAATAACTAATAATACTTTATAGGCGTAATAAAGGCATGTTATTAGTAATAACTAATAATACTAATATACCAACACCTGGGAATAAGTTAATATACTAATACTTAGGGATATTTTATTTTTTTAACTAGTAAGGTTTAGGGTGGCCTTGCTATATAAGGAACTAATTAACCTTATTAAAATATATTATACTAGTTTAACTAGTTTAAACTAGTTAGTCTATTTAAGTATAATAAATAATTAATAAATTTAAATGCCTATTATTTTTTTTTTTAATATTAAACGTAAATCATAAACCCAAGGACTTTAATAAACTAAAAACTACTAATAAACTAAAAATAGTTAATAAACCTAGATTTAAATATTTAATTTTTTTTACCACACTTTATATTATTATAAGTATTTTTAATTTTTTTAATTAGCAGGCCCCTTATTAAGTTACTAGTATATTTAAGGGCTTAAAAAGGGGTAAATAACTAAAGTTACTAGTATAACTAAGGGCTTAAGGCTTAGTAGACAAACTTAGTAAGTAAATTAAAGTTAAAACAAGGGCAAACTAAAGGCAAACTTAGGGGGTAAATTTAGTAAATAAATATGGCTTATTATAAAACATGCTAAAAATATATTTAATAAAAAAAAAATAGGTACCTAGCACATGTTAAGGCACTAGTTATTAAAATAACTAAAATTGCTAGTTAAAAAAGGGCTTAGTATTAAATCAAGTATAAAAGTAATAAGTATTAATCCTAAACCCTAAAATAGTACTTAATTACTAACCCTATATTATAAAGAAACTATAAATATAATATTAATAATAAAATATAATTACCTAACTAAGTATATAATTACTTTTTTCTAGCACCCCTTTTTACAGCCCTAAAAGTTTTTAAGGGGGTAACTTTTATAAAAAAGTTAGTAATACTTAAAAAAAGTAATTATATATAAAGCAGGCGCCCCTAATATTAATTAATAAATATAAAGTTATTATTATTATTAAAACCAAAAAAAAATAAAAAAGTATAAAAACTAAATTACTTTTTATTTTTTTTATACTTAAGCTTGCAAGCCCTTAAGTTTTTATACTTTTACTTTTTTAACTTTTTATTTTTATTTTTTAAAGCCTTTTTATATTTTACTAAAAAGCATAATAATGCTAGGAATTAAAAAGGCTTATAGTTACTTACTTTTTTTATTTTTATACTTTTATTAATAAAACCCCTAACCTCCTGCTTAACACGCGAATTAAAATAAGAGTAATTAATATAAAACATAACGTGTAAAAAGGGACCGGCGTGTAAAAAGCTATTAAAATTTTAAAAGATAATAGCATTAATACTAGTATTAATTTTAAGGGATTTACTAAGTAGCATGCCCGGCATAATACTCTTTTAAAATTATTTAGCACTAAAAATAAAGATATATTAGCAAAGGTAAATATAAAGCATAATATATATACTAAAAAATAATAATAAGTAAAAAGGTTTTTATATTAATAATAATAAGTATAACCTAGGACCTAGCCTGCAAATTATTAAAAAAATAATTAATAATAATTATTAAAATATAAATAAACCTCTTGCTAATAGGTGCTATTTATTTAATAATAATATTAATTATTATGTATTAATAGCCTATAATAAAAATAATAATATATTATTAACACGGACTTGGGCGTAAAATATAATAAATATTAAATTTTATAAACTAGGGTTCCTTTCTCCCGCGATAACTTTAAATATAAATACTAAAAACTTAGTAAATATTAATATTAGCCTAGTAAATTATATTAACTATACCTGCAAGAGTTATAATAAGGTTAGTAATATTAATTAAAAAGTTAAAATAAATTTTTAAAAAAAAATTACTATTTTATATATAAAAATTATTTATATTTATAGCAAGGGTTGGACCGTTAAGGCCCGAAATAATTAAAAAAGTACTATTAAATTAG